CTGAAGAATGGGAAGTTGTGGTCTCGAAAAAGACTTTAAAGATGTTGAACCAACTTGAAGGAGCTTCTAATGTCAAGTAGAAATCCAAGCTTGAACGAGTACTTGAGCTAAAGGAGTTGCCAAGTTCAAGTACCTCTACTTCCGAGCCAGTAACTATGAGGCATTCTAATTAAGCTAATTCATCAATGCTTGATCAAACTCCATCAAGTACACCCAAAAAGGTGACATAGATGATAAAATCAAAGAAAAAAATGATTATTAAAAAGGTTATCCATAATTTGAAGGACTATCAACAGCCAAACAATACAAGGAAAATCCATCCAGCCAGAGATAGCCTTCTAAGCAGCCAAATAAAACAATACAAGTAAAAATCCATCCAGCCAAACAATACAAGGAATCAAAATTTTTAAGATTTCCAGGATCTTTAAATTCAAACTCTTGTGACATATACTTTTTCAAACTCTATAATTCCTCCACATTATTCCCATACAGAATAATATTATTGATATAAACTATCAATGTAACAATTTTTTCAGCGTGAGATTTTTAACAAATAGAGTATGATCAACTAGACTCATATGTAGCTTAGCTTCAAAATAGCCTTTGTGAATTTGTCAAACTAGGATTGAGGAGATTGTTTAAGGTTGTATAAGGAAGCTTTGGGGTTTCTTTCTTTTTGATTACCAACTTTGGTTGTGGAATGGGATTGAATGTCTGCTTTTTTATCACCTTTATAAGAGGGTTGCTTTACAAATATTATAAACTACCAATTTTGTTTTTTTAGTGCCAAAATAGATGGCATGTGCTACATTTCTTCTTTCATTATGAGCTTTATTTCCCTTGAAGTTATTATAATGGCTTTCAAATTTTGAATGATTCATTTCTCGAATATTGTCACTCAATTAAAGTAGCTCCTAGAATGTGTGATAAAGGCCGTGTAATGCGTTGTCTTATCATCAATATTGCCCATCAACAATTGGATTGCCTGTTTCTCGTCCAGTTGCTATTTACATTGATACTCATATTTTGCCATTGAGTAATATATTTTGTCATTGACTTGTCTTTTCCTTTGTGCTCTAAGACGAGTTCAACAATAGTTATCTTCTCCATGGTGCTATTAAATCTCTTTATTAATAGAGTTTTGAGTTTGACAAAGGACTTGAATGACTTATTTAGAAGTTCAACACACCATTAAAAACTTAGTTAACATGAAATTGTTAAAAAAAATAGTAGAAGAGTAATGCATTATCACCCTCAGTGTGCCACAGGATGCCTTTATCTGGTCTAAGCATTATTTTGCATTACAGTTGCCTAATCATGTTGTATTTTGACACTAAATATCCCTAAGGATATGACACCTAGTTGTACATTGACGGGTATGGGTGAACCTTAGTCACGAGCTTTTTGACTTGTTCGAGAGCTATAACAACCTTAATACTCTCATTAATAGTTGTTTCTAGTTGCATAGCCATCACTAGCTTCGATGTACTTGCAATATTTTAAGAAGTAGTTTGGCGAGTTGATTGGCTAGTTTCATTCTTCCTCTTAGGTGCACTCATAGTCTTGCAAGTTGCATTTGCGCCCTTGTGAGTGCATTTGTACATTGTAAATGCACACTTTTAAAGGAGCCTACATGGTATACTTGGCACTTTTTGAATAGTGGCATGCTTCTCAAAGTAATTATAAGCTTATCAAGGCAATGTCATACTTTTAGAGATAGTTGAATGCTTCCTAAGGCAATGACATGCTTCTTGATAAGTGGCATGCTTCTTGATGCATTTACATATTTTACATGATGATGCAGTTGAATTTAGAAGTTGTGATGCATGTATGATTTAAAAATATTTGAATTATGATTGTTTGTGCTATATATTGTCATTGAAATAAGTGCAAAATTTTATTTTTGAAATTTTATAGAATGCCTTCAGTCTATTTGCATGTCTGTGTTGCAGATTCAATTATGTATGTACTGAACTGAAATCTTTCACATGTCTTAAGATGTTACAGTTCGCCTTTGCATGTCTATATTTTTTGCACAGTGAGCCTTACAAGGCATCAATTTCTACCTATATAATAAATAAGAGCTATTATAGTTCTTTTTTACACCCATTCATTTCCAATTCAATTTATGTTTGAGTGTTCAAGTGAGTTTTATGAGTGTATGGAGATTCAAGTTCTTCTGTTCGTTGGCAAGCCATTAGTTCCAAGCAATTTTTTTTGCAAGTCCATTTCTAGTATAGTTTGATGGTTAGCCTTCTTGCAGCATCATACTTTTATATGTTTATATTTGTCACCATTTGTACGGCTCATGCAATTTTATGTTTTAATTATTCCCATTTTTTAAATTCATTTATGTTTATTATGATTGTCCTGTTAAGTTCTATCAATACAAAAATTCAACAACATTTTGGCAGTATTTTGGCCTCACCTCTGTGATCGAGTTTGAATGGGTTTGTGGGAGAAGTTTCTTGGCGGGTTGTGAGAAAGGAGGACGAGAGTTTATGTGTGAGATGAGAAGAAGATCGATTATGGTTGCAAGGATTTGAGTGGTCGGGTGTGGGCTCAGGCTAAAGGGGAGATGGAGAGAGCATAGGAGAGAACTTGAAGTTGAGAGAGAGATGGAGATTAAGGGTCTGGCTCAATGATAGGCTTGGGGGATGAGGGCAAGGGTGGGGCGCGGGGGGTGTGAGATTGTGGATGATAGGCTTAGATTCTGGTTGGGATTTGACGAAATAGGAGATGGATGGGGATGGGAGATGTCCCTCCACGTAACATGCGGTATATGAAAACTTGGATTTGTCAAGATTTTTATGTTGGTATGAGGATTTGAAATTATAATTTGTCATTCGTACACGAGTTGTATTTCATATTTGTTGGTTTGTTATGATTCATGTTTTTTCCTTTATGAGGCGATTTGGTGATGCAGGACTTTTTTAGATATTTTTTTATACCCCAAACACAATGCAATGTTTATGAGGTCATTTGCAAGACAAGCAATGTTTGTGTGCTTTTCAATATTATTGGGTATTTCGAACTAGACAAATAATACTGGATCCATTATCATTATTATCATCATGTTTAATCAACTCATTGCAGATCTCATTTTGTGATAATTTTTGCTCTAACTATATTGGTGCGGTCTGATTTAGATGATTTGTATTTGTGTGATGTCTCTAGAACTCGTTTGTGTGGCGTGATGATCATTATTCACCACCTTTGTTGCATTTGAATAAATAGTAGATATGGAGGTTAGCAAATCTTGATTTGGTAATTGTCTTTAATTTATGCTATAAATGTGTTTTTTCTTAATATTTTATAATAAAAAAGTAATCAGAACTATAGCAGTAGCAACAACAACAACTACATCAAGCCTTTATCCCACGACGTGGAAAAAGGTAACCGTAACTAAATTCTAAAATTTTTGGAATTACTAAAACAACAAAAATGGCAATGACGGCAATACGTTTTTTTTTTTTTTTTTTGACATTAGAAGCTCCTTCAAGTTGGTTCAACATCTTTAAAGTCTTTTTCGAGACCACAACTTCCCATTCTTCAGCTTGCATTGATTTTTTTTTCATTTGTTTGCATGAATTTCCCATTTTATACTTCTTTATATAGTCAATTTTTTATTATATGGCAATCTTCAATAGGCTGGATGGATTTTTACTTGTATTGTTTCATTTGGCTGCTTGGATGGGTATCTCCGCATAGTACTCATATGGGTTTGTTGTTGTGGGCACATGGCTTTGTTGGCGGTTCTGAGCCCAAGATAAACCTCTTATTCTGGTGGTGGTTTCCAGTTTTTTTTTGCTATGGGTGATACAATACAATTTTTGGTACGGTACAATTTTGAGCTCATTTTTGGACTTTTCTTTTTTGTTCTTGTTCCTTTTATTTTTGGCTAAGCTTTTGACTTTTAGCTACGTTACAAGAATGATAAGTTTTTTCTTTTTTACTCTCCTTCTGGATTTTAGTTACAAATGTAACTTTTTTATAGATTGATGAAAAATTCGCGATGCCATAATTCTCCAAAAAAAAAAGAAAAGAAATATCATGTAATTGTTTGAAAGTCGCATTCCAGTTTCATTATTTTGCAAAAAATCAATCGAATTTCTGGTGGTGGTTGGAAAGTCTTGATTTTTTTGCTATGGGTGGTACTGTATAATTTTTGGCAATGACGGCAATACTTTTTTTTTTTTGTAAATATTGTCAATTAGTTTTACACGCCATGATTTGTTAATAAGTTTGAAGCTGGCTTAATTTTTCTCTCATTTTCTTAATGAAATTAGTTTTAGATTGAATGCTTGGTAATAAAAAAAAACTCTCTTGCATTGAGATAAATTTTGCAGGCATGCAGTCACGCTTTTCTTCAACAGGCCCTTCTTCCCATTTGATTAAGTCATCTAATTTGTATGGTTGGATGCATTGCATTTTTTGCATTGGGCATTGCCTATTATCTGAACTCTCTTGATGTGGAAACGCTAGCTTTAAATTTTTATCCATTTCTTGTCTTTTGTTTGAGAAAAAATGATTAAATTGGCTTTCTATTTTTTTTTTTCTTAAGTTAGTATTGCATGATATATATGTTCTAGTACTCTACTAGATATATTTTGATAATTAGGATTACGATGTCAATATCATATGTTATTTACTATACAAATTCCTATGTAAAACTTGGATTCTTGGTCAATTAGTTACGAATTTTGTCGTCTTTTAGATTAGGAAGAACTGACGATTATATCAGCTAAGAATATGGAAAAAATATATCGGAAGCTTTGATGATAATAAAGAACGTGGGAAAAACCATCCTCTTATGAACATATGTATTCATTTTTGTTTATTTAATCATTATACTAAGATTAGTGATGAAATGGAGGTCATGATCCTGGCCAACTTTTACTGTTGTATCAAGCATTTAATCTATCTATAATGCGAAAGTAGTATAAAGATGCATTCTTTCTATAACCAAGTAAATTAAAGCATGATTTAACTACTTGCAGCGATGCTTTAGATGCTCTTGGATTGGTCCGCTACTGCTGCAGAAGAATGCTTATGACTCACGTTGATCTCATTGAGAAGCTTCTCAATTACAACTGTAAGCCCTTTTCCCTACTTGTAGTTCAATATTTACTGTACTCATTAGCTGATTTCCTCCACATGCTTCTTTGACAGCACTTGAGAAGACTGAGCCAAACATTTGATTTCCTTGGATGATATGACTGCTATGGTCAAAATATCTAATATTGTGTTAAAAACATTGTGTTTGCTGTGTTTTAACTTGGAGTAATTTGATGTTTGATTTGACTTGGACTAAATGTTTGTAGATTTGTGGGGACAGAGATTCTTTTTTTTTTTGAAATATTCTATGTTTTACTTTTTCACTTCGTTTTAGCTGTAAATTTATATATATATTCTAGTTTTGGTGCAGATTTAAGAAGTTGGTAAGTTTACACCAGATGATAAATATTCTTTACATTCTCTCACCAAATAGGTGAAAGCTCTTAGTTCTCATGAAATTAGTGGAAGAGTTTTTATTAGTTGAAGGGTATTTTTTTCAATGAAAATGAACCACAATGTGTGGCAATTGCAAGATGATAAATGAAATTACTAATCGATTGAAATTATTAATTTAAAATTTACAATTGAATTGCATCGGCACTCTTAACATTTGGTTTTTTGTAGGGTTAACTATTATTTGTAGGGTTTGTTACTTCACATTTTATTTTTTATTTTTCATCATTTTAATTTATCAGCATGTGTACTTGTACAAGTGTTTTTAGGTGTCTACGGGTATTTAGTTGGTTCTACTAGAAATCGGACTTAATAGACACTAGGATCAAAGATTTGTCTAAGAATGGTTGCTCTCAATAATTGTTATATGATAGCCAAAGGATTTGACCTAACTTGACAAAGTAACTCTAGGATGGTCGCTTCAAAGAGAATCTCAAGTATTCGCCTGGGACTCTAGACTTGGTGAATTTGTCTCTTGGAGATGCCCTCTGAAAGCTAGCCATCACATAAGTTAGTGAGAGATCAATGGAATTCACTAGCTTAGTGGGAGTGGGGTAATGAATTGGTATTTAAAAACTTCTTTAATAATGAAGAAGATTTTTTTTTTTTTATAACTTGATGCGGAAGCGAATTATATTCATAATAAATAGATAAATTAACATTTTCACCTACATAGTTAATCACAAGAAAAATAAATACGAAAATAATAAATGGAAAAAACACACCATATTGATACTGGTTTTATCCAACTTGACTTACGTCCACTCTTCGGAGGCACCCTCCAGGTTTTGCCCTAAAACCTTTTAGTGTTTCACCTTGTGCTCTCACAACTAGGTGAAGAAGCTTTTACAAAATCACTTTCACATTCCCCAGTTCGGCGGAGTAGCCGGGTCCTTTGACCTCAAAGAGATTTTCTTCTTTCCAAAACTTTTTCATGACAAACCTTGAATCCGATGGTACTAAGGTGCAAGCTTGTCGGAGCAACCATGTGAAATTCCCTCCACACTCTCTTGAAATCCCCCTCTAAGGATCTTCTCCCTCTCAAACTTCATCATTTTCTCTCTCCCTTGCAATTTATCTCTTCAAGTTTTCTCCAGAAGAACGAACACACAATGTCTACCAAAGACACTTACAAAGTGCCTTGACAAAGCTTAAATAGAGGGCTTCAAAAATCCTAAAAATTCAATTTTACCGATAAAGATCGTCCAGTACAATGTGCAGAATTTGACCTAATAGTCCTTGACAATCTCGGAATAGTCCATTACGATAAGTTCAAATTTGTATATATCGTCTAGTATGATATTTAGATCGTTTGGGATAATTTATTCAATCGAAATGCAGTTTATCTAATACGAAACATGGGGCGACCAAAATTCATCTTTTTTGATCTTATAATACGATCTAAATCATATAGTGCAATCAAAATATCAAAATTAAGCAAACTCGATTGAGTCACATGATTAATTTAGGCATGATTTTTATAGATTATCTAGTACGATGTAGATCGTCTTGGATGATTAAAATAAAATATGAAATTTAAAATCTTGTCTAAATTATGATTGACGGCTATTTTTTATGATCATAACTAATCATCATAGACGATCTAGATCATAATGTATGATTAGTTAAATGAGCTGATCGTATAATATGATATAAATTATATAGTACGACTAGTTCAAAATTAAACTTCTCATTTTGACTCAATCTCACTCCCCATGACTATATGTGTGCATGGTCACTAAGCTAATCTACACTCTTACAGGACTTGACTCAAGAAATTAAAAATACATCAATAAATATTACAAAAATCATTATAGCATAACATATTCCACCAAATCTTGAGTCTTGAATCTTCGTTGGATGGTGCATGACATTCCTAAAATGTTAGTATACATACAAATAAATATACATTATAAATATAATTAAACATAAGGAGATGAGCCATAATATTTGTTATCATAAAAATCATAAACTCATGAGCTCGAGTTGCAACAATCTCCTCCTTTTTTATGATGATAAACATTACTGGTTGAATTTATAAATAAAAAAAAATTATCCTAATCTCCCCCTCTCGAAGATAATTATATTAAAAATTGGAGAAATAAAAAAAATTCTTTTTTTTTATATAGAAACAATTAAAAACAAAAAACTTTTAGAACTTAAAAACAATAAATAAACTAAATGAAATACAAGATAAACATATGTAGCTTAAATACAAATACAACCAGTCAAACATATTCTCCTCCTTTAACATTATCAAAGAAATGGAAACACATAAAAAATAAAATAGAACACATATAACAGACTCTGATTAGGTGGAGGTGCTGCTGATGTTTAAGAAAAATTAATTATTGTCAACAAATTTTCTCAAAATGAGAAAATTACCTCTAAATTTTATTCAAAAATATTGTAAGAAATGAATTGATAACACTAAGATCCAAAAAGATTAGAAATTTAAATTTTATCAACCATAGCTTAGGCTTCTAATAGGTTAAAGTCCTTTTTAAACAAAAAAAATCTAATTCAAAAAAAGAATTAAAGAAGAAAAAAATGTATTTTTCAATATTCTTATATAAAATATTGTTACAACTTAGCGTTCCAAGTTTATGATGATAACAAATAATATTGATTATTATTTTATTTCTACTAGTGTTTGTAGTGCATATTTATTTGTGTTGACTAATATTTTAGGTACACTATGCATCATTCTTTGAAGATTTAAAATTCAAGATTGTGTACAATTGGTTATATTAAATGACTATGTAATTTTCATTCCTTAAGTCAAGTCATGTAATGATAAATGTTAGTTTGTCGATCGTACACACAAACAGAGGGAGTAAAAAAATGATTTTAAATATTTTAATTTTTTGTACATCGTACTATACGATCTGTATCATACTGTACGATCTAATGTAATAGAAATTAATTAAAATATTTTATTTTTAATAAAAAAATATTTTTAAAATATAACTAATCATACTATACGAACACCATATCGTACTGTACGATCTATTATAATTAGAAAGCCCGCCCTCCATTAAATTAGGCAAAAAATTGAATTTAAATAGTTATTCTAATCGTGCTGTATGATCATGATCGTACTGTACGATGTTTAAAATATTTCCTAATTTAATCATGTGATTATTCAATCAAAATAGCTTAATTTTGATATTTTGATCATACTGTACGAACTGGATCGTATTGTACGATCAATAGAGACGATCTTGGCCGTCCCATGCTTAATCCTAGATGAACTACTTTTTTTGAACGGTTCGTACATCACATTGTACCAAACATCGTATAGTACGAACATGCAATTAAACTATTTGTACAGTACTAACTGGACATTGTACAGTACTAATAGGTCAATTTCTGCACGTCGTACCGGACGATCTTGTGATCGTACGGTATGATATTTGACGGATGAATTGAGTTTTTTAGGGTTTTTTGAGCCCTCTATTTAAGCACTCTTATAAGACTTTGTAAGAGTCTTTGGCATCCATTGAAGCTTTATTTTCTGGTGAACACTTGAAGAGGAAATTGAAAGGGAGAGAGGAAAGAGTGGAGTTTGAGAGAGGGAGAAGATCCTTGGAGGGGGTTTCAAGTGAGTGTAAAGGAGATTTCATACGGTTGCTCTAGCAAGCTTGCAGCTCAGTACCATTGGATTCAAGGTTCTTCTTGAGGAAAGTTTTGAGAAGAAAAAGATCTCTTTGGTGTCAAAGGACCCGACTCTTCCGCTGTATCGGGGAAGGTGAAACTGATTTTATAAGGGCTTTTTCGCCTAGCTATGGGGGCTAAAAAAGAATCATTAAAGGTTTAGTGTAATACTCGAAGGGTGCCTCCAGGGAGTGAATGTAGGTCATGGTTTGATCGAACCACTATAAATCGGTGTGTTCTTTCCTTTATTATTTTTGCACTTTATATTTCTGCAATCATTTTTATTACGATTAATTGCGTGGGTGAAATTAATAATTTATCTTTTTATTGTGAATTTAATTTGCTTCCACATAAAGTTATAAAAAATATTTCTTTCTATTAAAGAAAGTTTTTAATTATCCAATTCACCCCCTTCGAGCAGGATTCAAAAATTTTAAAAAACCTTGAAAAAATTGATCATGGAATATTTTAGAAATCATAACATTGTGGAAGGCTATTCAATTACTCGACCACCTTTATTTGAAAATATTTCTTTTAATTTTGGAAAATTTGCATGTCAACCTTTTTGCAATCAATTGATTATCTAGTGTGGCATATAATTCAAACTGGCAATTCTGTACCATCACGTATGATAGATGGAGTCAAAATTAATATTTCTTTTACTGAATGGAGTAGAATAAAATAAATTAATGCTCAATTAAATGCTAAATATTTGAATTATTTTTTCTAAGCATTAAATTCTGACGATTGCATGAGAATTTCTATTTGTACTACTGATAAAAAATTTTGGGATAGATTATGCATTACATACGAATGTACTAGTGAAGTCAAGCAATCTAAATGGAATATTCTAATGCATTATTATGAACTTTTTAGCATGAAACCATATGAAACGGTCTTAGACATGTATACTAGGTTTAATCAAATTGTGATGTCATTGCTTGATTTAGATAAAGAACTTTTAAATTTTAAAAAAGTTAGTAAAATTCTACATTCTCTACTTGATAAATTTGATGCCAAAGTCACGGCTATATATGAATCAAAAGATTTGAATGCTTATTCTTTAGACAATCTAATATGCTCACTCATTGCCTACAAGAAAAGTGTGAGTCAAAGATTTTTAGATGCAGGTGATGAGAAGATTATTGTGCTAAAAGCCAAAGACATAGATGAATGTGGCTTAGTAGATGATGAGAGCAAGGAGATATCATTGATAATAAATAAATTCGAAAGTTTAGTGAAGCATAAGCATAAACGTCAATAAAAGTGATGTAAAGGTAAAAA